GCTATCTTTAAAACTGCTGCATGGTATCTTTAACTCCTAAGAAAGCTATGAATCTATACCCAACTATTAGTTTAATTAAAATAATATAAAAAGAATTTTTGTTGTTGTAGTTTACTACTTTGTGAAACCTCTCTAGCATAAATAACTTTATATATATTACATTAATTCTGTACATAAATGCATAATTTCAGCAAATGACAATGGCATTTGGTTTTTTTTACGAAACTGTATATTAAAAATTGTAGATAAGAAAGATAAAGATTCTTAAAATAACTATTTGCAATATGACACCGATATATATCTTGATATATCGGAAAGAAGACGTCGATATTATATCTGTATTCGCTCAATTCAATAGTAATAAAACAGTAATAAGATGACTTTTTTGTGCCCCTGCAGGCACGCAATGAAAAATAATTGTTTTAAATTTGACAGATTTTTCATTTTTTAAATGCGATTAATAAATAATTATTTATTAATAAATTTAATTATTTCTAAATCGTAAGAAGAATAAGAAACACCGATATTAAACGTAAACTCTTTCAATTCAACAATATTAATCAGTGCTTTTCATATTATTCGGATATTTTAAAAACCGAAGTTATCCGATTATGCGATTAATCAGATAGCAACGAATTCTCCAGAGTTAAAGTCTCCGGAGTCTTCGCATATCCGGATTTGCGGTTATTATTCGCTGTGAAACTATTAGAAGATTTCGTGAGTAAAAGTGAAAGGGAGAGTACAAAATGCATTCGAACGTGCATCACACAAATAAACACTAATTTTTTTAGGGATTATAGAATATCTTGTGTTTATCCGATTAATCGAATTCTTCTATTACCTCATAAATACGAATACGAACAGCAATAGTATTAATATACGAGTAATTTAATAAGTTGAATTTTTTGTGTCCCTGCAAGTATGCAATACAAAATAATTGTATTAAATTTCATGGAATAAATAATGAAAAATGCAATAAATAAATAATTATTTAAAAACAATAAATCGTAATAAATCGTAAAAATAAGAAAATACTGATATTATATCAATATTCCCTCAATTCAACAGTACTAATATAGTTTAATAAGTTTAAATTTTAGTGCTCTTTCAAGTATGCAATTAAAAATAATTTTTTTAAATTTTACAGACTTTTTATGTCTTTTTATTTCTTTTTTAAAAATGCAATAAATATATAATTATTTAAGAAGAATTAATCATTTTTTATGGTAGTAGGATAAATAAAAAATTACAAATTTTTCTATTAGAAAATCTTCCTTCAGAAGTAAGAAGGATGGTTTGCAGACACCGCTTACTTTATATAATATAAGTTGTTCTTTTTTTTTTTGTTTAAGAAATGTTTTTCACCTTTATTAAAATTCATAACAGATACAATCAGATGAATAAAGTTTTTATTTCTTTTAATGCAATGACCACAAATTTCAATCAATCAAATGACCTTCAGTTTTCACCTTAAATATATTTTCTTAGAAATTTTGTGACACAGAAATAAATTTATTTTCAATTTTCCACTCGTTAATGAAGAATTATTATATTTCATTATTTCAATTTTATTGTCTGCAAAATTCGTTTGAATTGAGTTTAACGATTTAATTCAATTTCGCATTTCTCATTTTACGAATGGCGCATTTCTTGTACTTTCATCGATTACGATTCACGATTCACGATTAACGGAGTTACCAGCTTGACACAAGATATACGAGCGTGAAGTTGTCACCATATCGTATACCTATTCTCATTCTGCAAACAACATCAGGCAATTGAATTGAATTGTCGTAACAACAAACAGGACGCCGTACGAAATTTTTAATATAAAAATTGCAATAAAATAAAAGAGAATATAATAATAAATAAACTTTAAGGATTATTTGTACAATTATGGGTGTTTCATTTTGAATATTCGCTGATGTTAGTCCCGCGGAACTGGTTCTAAGCCATCGTAAATCATTTGCTTCCCCACTATAATTTTCATTATGCTCAGTGATTATTTCGACAAATTATAAACGAATTTATCATAGATTAATTGGGCGTAAACACCGCAACATGCTTGGCTATGGAGGAGCCGCCGAAGCTGTTGAAGAAAAATCGTCATCATTATACTCGCCTCGCTTCAAAGGAAGCTTGCTTGTACACTGCTGTTGATGTTTTATAGTAAAGTAACGCATTAGAGCGACTTTATTTTCCTCCCCCTTTCTCCTCCTTTCAATTTGTACTTGCTAGCGGTTATTTTGTCTACCAACATTACAAGCGCGTAAATCCTCCTTCAAATCTCTTGAATTCAACCGATTTCTTCCTATGGTTTTTGTTTTAGTTTATTTTGTTCATTTTTTTCTTTTTATTTTTATTTTTCTTTTTCATTTCATTTTATTTTATATTATTCTTTCTATTTTATTCTTTTTTTAGTTGTTATATATATTGTATGTTTCATGTTTTTGTTGTTATTTTATTAAGCGAAAAATAAAGACATTTACCATGTATTTTCTTAAATATCCAATAAATTGTTGTTGTAATTTTAGAAAATTGTTTCTTGACAATTTCGCTTTGTTGCTGCTTTTATTTCATTTAACTTTTATTTTGTGCTTTTTTGTTTTTCTTTTTTGTGTTTTTTTTGTTTTTATTTTCTTTCTTTACAATTGTAATTTTGTTTGTCTTATTTGTGAAAAAGAAAATTCATTTTTGTTTAATTTTGCTAACAAATGTAATTCCTGACCACGTATTTTTCTGCTCATACATAGCTTCATTCCTCCACTGGCTTTGTGGGGAAGTGTGTGTAGTTGTACTAGCCTTGTAACATAGTTAACTGTATGTGTGTGTTTGTGTGAAGGTTTGTATTTTTATGTGAATGTTTGAGTGAAAAATGTAATTGTTGCAGTTAATCGAGCGAAATTGATTTTATTTTGATCTTTATTATTGTGAATTTTTCTTTTCGTTAGTTTCGGTTAAGCAAAATTGGTATTAGACAAATAAAGTATGAGCCATTTTAGAGATATGAAGCGTAATTTAGTGAGAAACTTTGGTTTGTTCTTACAATAATCGGTTAAACGCAGAGCAAAGTCAAGTTGCAAAAGTGATAGTGATTATAATTTTATGAATATTTATTGTGATTTCTATCTATGCTACAAATTGTTTATTGGTTTCGAGATGAAAGTATCAATAAGTAATAAGGATTATGGCGTGGACGATTTGTTTCTTTTTTTTTAGCTTTTAGAAGAATAAAGCTTTTAGTGGAATGAATAATTTTTATTAAACTGTTTATTCGTTATATATAATTTATTAGTTAGATTATAAATTAAATAATGATGTATAATGTTAAAGTAATAATAGCCCTTTTTGGTGGCTCGCAAATATGGCAAAAAATGTATGCTGACCTATATTCGCTACGCGAGGCATTGGGATCACTGTTGCAATCTGTCAAGTGTTAAGTTTTGGCAAATAGCAAAAATAGTACGATGCAAGCAAATTACATTTTGTGTAAAAATAAATAATTAATATAAAAATGAAAATGAAAATGAATACAGTATTAAAAAGAATGGTAAGAATGTTGGAAATTTCAAAACAAAACATTGAAATTGTTTCTTTTTTCCCAATTTTCCAATTATAAAATTTTTGAATTTTGTTTGAATTTTTGTTTACTTAAAATTTTTGACATATGATTGCAATATTCGTTGGAATGTCCAATGAAGGTTCACAATAGTTCGCTTATTGCATTGGTAACACTTTTTTATTACTGGCCGTAGTGTGTGGCCAGTATAAAATTACTGGCCGAGGTAGAGAAAATAGTGTTGTTATTTGGCATATATTTCGGCCAGTATAGGCCAGTAACTTGCTGTTTTTTGCAATACATACCAGCCACCGAAAAGGCCTAATATATTGGAAATGTTTTATAATAGTAATGTTATTAATTAACAACAAAACTTATTTAAAACTTATTGTTAGTCGCATTTTAATAGAAGATACAATAAATAAATGTATATATACTATTATATATACTACTGTATTAATATTTTTAGTACTGGCACTTGCAGCAAATATCGCAAAAATATCAAATAAACTTTTATAGTTAAATCCGTTATATATAAAAATTTTTTTAGAACAAGAAAAAATCGTAATGAATAGCGAAATAAATTAAGATCAGAGGATCAATTAAAAATATTAAAATTTTTTTATTTATAATGCAAATATAAAGACACCATTTCTTTTACTATGGCGATGTTAAGTTCAATTCAAAATATTGATCTCTGATTAAAGAAAAGTAATTCTTTCACCACATGCTTGTACACGGGCTTCTTAAATAACTGATTACCGGCTACATAGCAGTCCCATAATTGAAATAGCTAATACCTCACGGCTAGTATTCATCACTGAAATGACCATAACATAAAGTCAATGGTTATGCACATTTTAATATTGTTAAAGAAATCGAATTAAAATTACTCTAATTTAGTATAATAATTTTTGTTTACTAATATCGATTATTAAGTCTTGCTTTAACATCTCAATGGTTGAAATGTTGGTTCTGCAAGCAGCCGTAACATTCTTCTAGTTATAAAACAAAAATAGAAGAGGTTACCGAGTAAAATACAGTCAGCTCTTCAAATGAAGGTGTCGGCATATCACATGTACAAATTTTTCTAATATCACAAAAGTGGGGATTATTAGGTCAGAAATCTGTGTGAAAATAGGAAATTCTTAATAGGTGACATGATGACCTTCGATCAAAGAGGTTTTGTCTATTGTTTTGTTAAAAGTTTTTGTTACCAAAAGATCTGCTATCGTCGAAGAGCTTGGGTCCGTTGAAATACCCAATACCCAATTGTTTTAAATTTTTTCTATTCTATGCTCGTGTAAAATAAAAAAATCAAAAAACGAGATGAATTTACAAAATATCACAAATAGTATACATGGATTTTTTTTTTGAATTATTTAAGTTTAATTGAAATTGAATGTATTACAATTGTTAAATTATTAGGTCAATTCACTTTTTATACAATAAAAAACAAAAATTAATTATTTTGCATGTTATAATACGACTATTATATTTTAATTTATGGAGGAAGAATTTTCAGAATCTGACGATGAAAATATTATTGAAGATGATGTATTTACAAATTGTGAAAAGGTGGCTTTACGTAATGCTTGGCGCGTAATAGATCGTCGTATACTTTACCATAATGACCGGTTATACGTGAGGTAAGTACATAAGTATTGTCAGAATTGTTTTAAATTTATCATAAATAATAATAATAATTTATAAATTTTCTTTAGTTTTTATACTGAACATGAAACATTTTTAGAATATTTTCGTAATTCGGAACAAAAAATTGACGTAGAGGATATTCTTAATAACGGCAAAAATATAATGTCAATATTTAATAATATTGTATCGGAAGGTTTAGTAGTAAGTGCCTTGAGATTAATGCTTCGAGAAGTATATATACACTATGCTAGGAGAAAGTTCCCTAAAATTGTTGTTATGGTAAAAAACTGCAATAAGATATTTAATATTGTTTGAATTGTTTGTATTGTAATTACAGACGTTTGTGGAAGTTCTTGTTGAATATATGCGAATAGAAATCAAAGAAATCATGACTCCTACACTTGATCAGGCATTGGATAAGCTTGTAGTTTTAATAATCACACATTACCCCACGGAATCTAAGAGAAGTACTGCCGCTCAGACTAAATTGAGTATAAAAGAAACTGAAACTGAAAATTGAAAATCAAAATCAAAAAGAGCTATTGAACGAATAATATATTTTTTTAGATTTGATTAATTTCGTGTTTTAAATTATTACTTCGTTGAAGTGTTTAATTACGGCATTTAAAGTATTCATATAGAATGAAATACTGACAGCACTTTTATGATGTTATATGTGCACACCATCCTATATACTAAGCTAAACAGCACTAGTTTTTATCAATATCCGTTTGAGCGCTTGAAGTAACTGAAAGCGCTAAAAAGAGTTGCCATCATAAATAATTTATAAGTGGGCAATTTATTTTAAGGTTTGTGACGATTTTTTCCAACACGTCACAAATAAATTATGATAGTTGAAAATAGCATGAAGTTATTATAGTAAACAAATAAAAAAACAATAGAATTAAGCTATTATTAGTAAAACCAAACCCACGGAAAAAAATATTAGTCTAAGCTATGAAAAAATATATAAAGTATTAATAAAGTAAAATGAATTATTTTAGAAAGATAATAATAAGTAATTAAAAATTATCATAGAATTTAGTTATCAAAATTAAGAGAAACAATAAATCTCTTGAAAATACAAATTAAGTAATAATACTTCCGATTTCTTTGAGGGTAATTATTTTTGCAAAATTTTAATAATAAATATGCAGCGAACAACAACAGCAGAACATAGCGAAATCAGTAGCAGGCAATAACAACTTAGAAGAAAGCTACACAGTATGCACTCAGAAGTCAGTTATCCCGTTATATAAAATCCGTATAAAAGGAGAAGCAAAGTAAAACACAGGGACTTGGCCACAGCACTTCGAACAGTGCACATCACCAGCCACTCTATGACAGGCCACGAACCAGAACACTTGACAGAGCCAGAGCAAGTGTACAAGCAGGTAACTAAAAATATTTAATAACATTTTTCCAAGTCCACCAGTGTAGCCCTATCGGTAACACTGTTCCTTAGCAACGCAGCCTTGTCGGTAGCGTTGGTCCCAAGTTCACCAGTGTAGCCCTATCGGTAACACTGTTCCTAAGCAACGCAGCCTTGTCGGTAGCGTTGGTTCCAAGTTCACCAGTGTAGCCCTATCGGTAACACTGTTCCTAAGCAACGCAGCCTTGTCGGTAGCGTTGGTTCCAAGTTCATCAGTGTAGCCCAGTCGGTAACACTGACTCTTTAACAACGCAGCCTCGTCGGTAGTGTTGGTTCCAAATCCACCATTAGTTAGAATTTTTTATTGTTTCAGGAATTATAATAATTCTTAATATTTATAATATATATTGTTAGCAAATAAGCTATAAATATTGTAAAATAAATTTCGGAAAAAGATAAATAAAGAAATTAAAAACAATTAACTGGCTTTAAAAATTATTATTCGAACGATTCAGGGTTATAAGAAACATTCTTGTAACGACTCTGGGATCCGGCGAGCAAAACCTCGGCTGGTAAAAAGGTTCTTTACAGGTTAAGCTTTGGACTTGAGCTTGTTCAATATGCGTGCGGTTTTTGTAAAATTTGCATCTATAGCAAGATTCAGGTATCTACATGTATACCATCATTTTTTATTAGGATTATTGACATATAACCTTGAAGCGCGTAACCTGGAGATGATAAAGCTTTGGTTGTTTCCTGATTAAAGTGTAATGATTACTTTCGGAGATAATGCAATGGTGTGTTGATGTGATCCTGAAGTGTATGTAGTTGCTGTTTTACTGGCTACCTTGTCTAAGTAAATTATACGGACATAGTCAAAAACGAAACTATTAATAGTAATTTGATTATTATTATTCATAAATAGTTATATGTTGTTATTAAATATTTTAACATATTTCACTATTAAACATTCTGTATTCCCTTATAAGAGTACATTAAAGATTTTTCGTGACAGTTACTAATTTAAGAACATTTTGGTGGAAAGAATATAAAAGTCATTAAATGTGCTAACATAATGGACTAAATAATGTTATTTTAAAAAACAATTTTCCATAATTTAAATATAAAAAACTTTTAGGAATTTAAAACAATAATGCGCATAAATTGGTTGCTTAATTTAATAAAAAATAATAAAAGCCTCGGTGAGAGCAAAATTATGGTTATAAAATCGTAAAATATTTCTGGTAGTAAATTTGCAACAAAATACGCAAAATTCACGTTGGAAGCAACAGTGTTCCATGTCATCAACATTTTAACAAGTATTGCCACTTCGAGATGTGCTACCACCGTTTTTGCCTACGGAATCACTTAAAGGTGCAAAACTCCGAAAGCTGTGCACATACATCCTCCCGCACACATCTACATCAGAAACATGTAATTTATGAGCATCAGGTTGGCATGACGCTAATATAGTAGATGTCAGATAGAACTGAAGCTTAAAGCACATACACAGGATGTGTCGTCCTTTGGTCGGCTATTTCAATGAATGTTGGTGCAACTCACAAATAAGCGCCTGGAGTTATGTGGCATACGCAAGCCAATCCGCCTTTTGAATTTGTTTTATTCGACAAAAGTTATTAAGGGAATTTTTGTGTAATTCCTGGGGGAATATTTTCATAAGTTCTTGTTAGAGTTACTCTTTTTTTTTTGCTCTGAGGTGTACTATAATTTTGGGTAAGCATATTCGGTTTTCTTATAGAAAACAAAAAGTATTTAGTTTTGATTATACGTTAGGTATTATACGTTCGAAATATTTTCTTTAATTATTTTTTAACTATTTAAAACATATTGTCGTGAGAATAGACGACGATGCGCTAGTAAAGAAAGTGTTTCAAAGGGTGGTTACAGGAAGAAAACCTAGAGGAAGACTAAATCCCCGATAAAGTGATCAATTTGAGTCAACACTAATCTTGCATCATGTACGAGACTGGAGAAGGCACTCACGCAGCAGCGGCGCAGGGAGAGGCTTGCTGTGTCATACCAAAACCCAATAATAGGCTTTTATGGTCAGTTAGGGTAAGGTAAGGAGTTAAAACATATTACATTATTTGAATATATATCATTTCTTGAGTTATTGTATAGGATATTTACCTTAATTTAGATTTAAGCTTGCAGAAACGGTATTGATGGTATCATTGACAAAGGCAACAATATTAATGTCTATAACATAAATTAAAATAATCGAATATATGTTAATGTTGACAGATCTGGTGGTGGTGTGCTTCGTTATTTTCATTTTTCTATAATTTTATAGGCGTACCATAGAGAATAAGAGGCCCACATTTTCTGTGTAAGAATACAGTGGGTATAATGGTCAACTTGGTAAGTAATAGAGAATAAGAGCAAAGTCTGAACCTTCTTGTGTTTAGGAAGAACTGAGTAATAATTCTAACGCAAATGGGTTTCCGAGGCAGATAATTTTAATAAAGATTTAGGTACATATTCATAAAAAATTAATTTTTAAACAAAAAAAATTGTCGAAATTATGAAATGTGTGTTTTTTTTTCTTAAATGGGGCGGAATATGTTCAGCTGTTTATGGGTGTCGAAGGTATGGGTAAACCATAGGCATAGAGAGTGTTTCCAATTGTTGTGTCAATAGGTGCTTTAAATTCAACAAAAATGGTGCTTTGGCAGGGTCCAGCTTTAATCTTATAAGTATGTTTGAGAGAATCATATCTGTGATGTTTAAAAACTGTTATATATTTGTAAATTATATTATAATTTATAAATTTTAATGAAAATACTCTTTAAGTATAAATGTAGGGAGATTGTTGTTTGCTTTCATTCATTAGTAAGTAAGTCAGAGAAGCCTATGCCTTAGTGTGAATTATTACATACTGTAAAAACGTTTTTAGTAGAGTTCCGCCGATGTTATAATCTGCTAACAATTTATAGGAAAGATCCATTTATTCAATATAAAATGTTTTATTAGCTGTAAAACATAAATAAAATTATCATAAAATATATAAAATGATTCTTATTGTTAATACTGTTTGTATGCAAAAAATAACTATTAAAAATCCTATAACTGTAAATCCTGACTATAAAAACTCCAAGTTCCAGAGTTATTTTTAAGAAATAGTGTTTTGCAATATTCTATATATATAAGGATGTTCTTATATATAGTATATATATATACATCAGATGTAGCGCAATAAAGAAAGTCGTTAGTAATGAACCAATTTCTTTTCAATTACTGAACATGTAGTAAAATAATGTTCTCTCCATTATTAATATTGAAGAATATATTATAAATATAAAGAAAGGAAAAGATTTATACCATTTTATTTACCTAGAAATAAACGGATTTATGTAGGTTGAGTACGTCATAAGATTGCGCCTTGTCATTTATTTCATTAACAAGCAGAAAAGGGAATTTTTTTGTTTACCAAAAGTGCACCCAATATATACATCATTTTGCCTATCTGTGTCTATTTTACCATCTGCACTTCCATATCGGTAGGGAAGTGTGCACTTAAAGGTATTTCACGTACCCTTAATTTCGGTACGGCAGAGCACATCATTAATAAATTTTGTTCGAAAACAATTTTAAATAAAATTTAATTTGGTTCGTTACTTGTCGGTTTACTTTGGAACTTGCCTTGAATTTAAAGTAGTCAAAAGTGTTTATTAACATTGGAAATATAAAAAATAATTGCTTGAATTTCATTTTCGAAGTATGGGAATATTTAATATGATTTTCTGGAAGTTCTTAAATGGTGGAAGTGCGTACAAAAAACGTGCTGTTGGCATAAAAAATTGATTCTTAAAATTAAGATTCCATTAACATTAACTTCTCATTTTTTTTTTGTTTTTGCCTGTACTTTTATATTTTAAAAAAAGTGTAGATATTTTCTTTAGATTATTTTGAAGAAAAGGAAATTAATTTGTGGCTACAACTGGCTTTTAAAAGCATCCGAAGGTGCTTATTTCGGAAACAAAATTTTTTTTTAGTCGAGAGATTTGAAATAAATAAAATTTTTCTCTAAATTGGAAAGGAAAGTCGCTTTTAGTTTGTTGACCTTTGTTTATAATGAAAGTTCTCTAATATCCAAAAGTTTATCAAAAGATGGTCCAATATGAGGAACATGTTAAAGCTTAACAGGACTGTG